ACCATCTTATACGTCTTAAACTCATTGCTTGTTTTTCTCCTGAGTGTTAAACGTGTGTCATAAGTATCTTTAGCCAGTGCTTGAAGTTACAGAAGGAAGGAAGTGGGAGGATTTAAGGGTGAGCAAAGGCATTCAAACTTCTCCTGGTTCATCCTGGAGAAGTTGGTGGAACAAGTTTTGGACTTCCTGTGGAAAAGTAAGCTGCTGCCCACTCTGCCCCCATTGTAGCACTGTTGCCACTAGCAGGGGCCCCAGGGAAACCTGGGGAGGACAGGTGTTTCCTGGAAGGGTCAGTGGAAGGCCATCTACCCCTCTGCCAAATGAACCTGGTCCAGATCAGAGCATGTGCTGCTCAGAGCCATGTGGTATAAAGGTTGGGTAAACATGCACTTGCTCTGTGATGAGGAGAACGGCCAAGGAGACTGGACATGACCAAAAAGGTTATCATATGCTAAAAGCAAAGGGAAAAAGGCAATGACATGCACCTTTCACCTAGTTAAGTGTATTTCTCAGGGAAATGTCATTTTAGAAAAAATAGAAATTCTAAGTAGGAAAGTGTTGAGTTGGCCTGGAAGGGGTTGTTGGTTGATTGTTAGTTTTTGATTGATCCAAGATCCAGTAGGTTTTATGAGCAAGGAGTTCCAGATCTCCTCCCCCATGTCCTAATTATACTAGGCCCTCCCTGGAGGCTCTCCCTGGCTGGGATTTCATACCCAAAGGGAGTAGAGAGAGCTGGAAAGCACTGTAGTGGAGAAGAAAGAGCCCAGGCTTTGGAGCTACGCAGCCTAAGGTTGAACCCTGACTTTAACAATTAATCAGTGTGATCTTGTGAGAGTTATGTAAACCCCATGAGTCTTGCTTTCTTCATCTTTAAAATGGGGAAGATGCTTACCTCAGAGGATCGAATGAGATAGTATTTATGAAAAGGTACCAGTGGGTACTCAACAAGTGCTCCCTCACCTCCTACTTCCTCTGCTCATCTTCCCCTTGAAAGCCACCCTTGAGTGGGCAAGATAACACTTAATAATCTTGGCTTTCCTGCAACTCCTTGCAAATTAGACACATTGCCCAAGCTGACAATGATCTCAGCATTTTCTCTGTGGACCATTAGTAGGGATTCTACCATCATGTCACCAAGATATTGCACCCTGAGCATTGCATGCGTCAATCATTGGGTATGAGCTGACATGCTTTTGTAACTCTCAGCTGTTCACCCGGTTCTTTGAGAAAATATTGCATTTCTATCTGTCATTAGAGGTAGTGGAAGCTTGATGAGGTTCCTGGTCTTCTGTCATCTTTAAATCCTCGGGAAGGCTCAAGTGTGTCAGTTAAAGACAACCCCTCCCACCCCCCACCCCAGCCTCGTCCCCCACATACTGTGATGTATACTGGTCAGCATTGATGAGACTTCCCTCTTTTGCTGCTGTGATTCACCAGCCATGGGTACCATCTTTTCTGTTCTCTCTCCCTGGCATATAAGTGTTTCCTCATTTGTATTTCTTTCCCTGAAGTTCATGCCCTCAATCATCTCCAGCAACCTGGATAAATTTAGCTCTTCTCAGGGACTTTTGCTGACTTGGTTCCATGACTGTTGAATGTTTGGCTGCTCCCCAGAAAGAGTTTGGGGCTGGCTCCCCTCACTTGGAGGTCTCATCTTGTTCTGGTGACTACTGTGTCACTTGTGTAATTGGTCATTTGAGTCACCTCAGGCCAACCAGTTTGAGAACCAACAAGTTTGTGTTCTTGGAACCTGAAGTCCTTCATTCCCGCTTCTGACCCTCTGACCCCTTAGTATCCCTTCCTTGTTTTTATTCTTGCCCTGAACAGCCTGTGGCTACTGCTCTTATCTATCATGGTCACTTCCCATTAGGGCTAAGAAGGCAACTAATAAAGGCTTCTCGACTCTCTTCTCCAGGAGCAGGGCCTCAGGTCTCATTACCAGGATCCAGCAGAGTGAAGTGTACTTAGCAGATGCTCATTTAACGTTTACTAATTTGACTTGTTCAAACTAAACATCAGAGAGGTTAAAGTCAGACTCCCTTGGTCAGCAACTAAATGAAAGAGAAATGCACGCAAAGGCCATTATGTTTTTAGACACCCGCATTTTCAAGCATCCAAAATAAGGCTCATGGGTCATGTTGAGTAGGTTTGTGTCGGACTTTGAAGGATGGGAAAGATTTGAATAGATACAGAGGAAAAGGAAGGACTTATTAGGAGAAAAGAACAGCACAAACATAGAAGACATAGAACCAGAGGGGGAAACTGGCACAAGATGCATGTATGTAATGTGACTTGGGGGTGTCTGTAAAGAGCTAGTCTTATTCCAGTGAAAATATGTATAAGGGGAAGAGGAAAGAAAAAATGATAGCCACCCTTTGCTGGGCCTTGAGAGCTTGGCTGTGACCTAATCAACCAACCAGCTACAGACTCCCCCTACCTCTCAATGTCCTTGTTCCTTATAGGAACAACTAGGTATGGCTTCTTTCCAGTCCCATATTCACCCACACCCCAGTTTAGCTGCTGTTGTTTCATGGAAAACCAAGTTAAAAAGTGTCTGTAGAGCCAAAGTAATTTACTCCAGAGACCACTCATGCGCAAGCCCCATAGTGAGGTTGTCTAGCAGTGTCTGGGGTGGCAAACACTCATCTGAGGACTCTAGCACTTGGTGGTGATCAGGGCTACCAAAGGCTACAGCTTCAGGAGGCAGCGAGAGGAAGGAACAGCTGTGCCCTGCATAAAGAACCCACGCACTCCTGATTGGCCATTGTTCTGGCATGTGAGTGGGACCAGTGACCCAGATGTCACTGCTGCCATCCTGGCTGATCCACAAAGAAGTGAATCAGGTCTATTTTAGGAATCTGTTCAACTGGTCACATGGAGAAATTGCTATTAAAAAACAGCTATTTACCAGGAAAGCAAAGCTCCTGCAAAACAAAAGGTTAGTATACTCTCCCCAGTAACTCTTTAAACCAAAGCAAACACTGGTGCAGGCCAGGTTTGCTCTGTAGTTCTGCTGTCCACCCTTGGTCATCTGATTCCCAAGGTTCCTGGTTGATCTCCTCCTCGGGAATAAGCTGAGAAAGGCAGCTGGGAATATCAAAGGACAGGGATTTCTAGAGGGTAAGAGGGTTAGGGTCACATAGCAGTTCTCTTGTTAAATGATTGGTTGATTTTTCCAGGAAAGTCAAGGGGCTTGACCAGGCAAAGCTCAAAAGAATCTGGAAGGTCTAAGACCCTTTATCATAAAAGTGTCCCCTCCACTTGTATTTGAGGATTCTGTATTAATGGATGGGAAGTACATCAAATATAGTCCATAGAGATATTGCTCTAACTAGAGGACCAAACCATGAAGGCAACACCAAGAGCATTAAGATCAACATTGAAGAGATGACAAATGCGCTGATTATGGTGCCCATGCAGTGGCTGGGACTTCCTACAAGCCATCACCACCGTATGACCTCAGCTTCTCGATGGGTATCCCTAAGCCTTCCTTTCCTCTCAGCTTCTAAGGTGTGCTACCACTCGGAGTCATGTCAAGTTAGGAAATCCTTATGTGACCTGTCCTATGAAACTTACAATCTTGCTTTGTGCACAGTGTGACACATATATCCAACAGAGAAAATAAGATAAGGCAATAATACTAGAGAATAAGTGGCATAAAAAATACAAGTTGTGGCTGGGGACAGATCAGTGTGCATCTGGTGGGCAGATCAGATAGCGTGGCCTAGAGCACACAATGAAAAAGACATTGTCTATAATGGAAATTGAAGTCCCTAGCCTGACTTCCAGTGCTTTCCATAATCTGACCTCCACCCCCATCTCAGCCTTACCTCCCAGGGCTCCTCCTACAATCCAACCAGACTGCACCCTAAGTTCACCTTGCTCCACGGGTGGTTTTTTACCATGTAGCAAAATTCTTCCTTTCCTCTGCTTCACCAAATGCTAACCGTGTTTGAGGTCTGGCTCACATTTCTTCTGCTCCTTGACACAATTCCAGCCACCCAATCCCCCAGCCCTCAGTGACCTCACACTGCCCTTTGTCCACATGTACTTCACTCACAGTGTTCACTGTCTGGACGCTCATTCATTCATCAATCACAGACAGCTTAGGATGGCTCTCAGCTAGTTATCTCAGACTATTACCTAACTTTGACTCTTTGTATATCATCCCCCCAGCTGTATTATTCTCTCCTTGAGAGCTTGCATCTTGGATGTCCTGCATCACCTAGCACAGGACCTAACACATAGTAGGTGGTCGATAATTTGTAAAATGAATGACAGTACAGACAACCTTTTGATGCACAACTACTTTTTCTAATTTATTCCACCTGAGGGGGTAAACAAAGGGGCTACATTTAATGAAGGTCTATCATGTGCACTTGTTTGGCATTTTCTGAACATCATATCATTTAAACTTCACATCAGTCTGAGAGGTAAGAATAACATCTTCAGTTTATACATTATGAAAATAAGGATCAAAGATGTGAGTGAGATAATTTGTTCAATGTCAGTCAGCAACAGTGAGCTAGAGTCGAGAGGCAAACTCTGGTGTGCCTCGCTTAGAATACCACACTCTTTCAATGGTCCTGCACTGCCTTCCATCTGAACATCCACGGGAAGGTTGCTGAGTTTCTTCCTGTGGGTCTCATGCCCTACCCATGAGTTTTACTTCATCACTCCATGCATTCCCTCTCCCTTCAAGCTACCTCCCAAGAGTTGCTTCTCCTGGAACCCATTGCATGCTTTCATATTTCCATGTAACTCCCTTAGCCTGGAAAATGTCCTTCCATCTTTTCTACCTGTGAAATCTTACTTATCCTTGAAGGTCCACCTGAAATGAATATCGTCTCCATGAAATTTTCTGTAATCCTGCATGATAATTAAATTAAATGCCCTTACGTCTGAGTCCCCACAGCCCACTGCCCCTTCCACAGTTCAGAACTCACTTTATTCTGCTTCAAATTCCAATCATTTGTTTACCTTCCTGCTTTTTCTCCTAGGGTGTAACGCAAGGGCAGGGAATGCATCCTCTTCATCTCTGTAACTCAAGCCTTACATGACAGCAGCCCGGTCTCCCAAGAGCCTTTGATGGTAAAGGCAGCTGATGATGTGGAGCATGAATTCAGCAGCATCACACACACCTTCCGTGATTCTGCCCAGGTAATGAGCCATTGGGTACCAATCAGAGCCAAGAATAAGAAGCTCTAAGCAGATTTCCCACATTTCCCACATCTGTCCCCAACGCTCAACCTAGAGGGGTTTCACCTTGAGGCTATATAGTCCCCAGTGTTCAGTGATTCAAGAATGGTTCTACCTCCCTTCTTAATCTGGTCTAAGGTCTAACTTGTTACTAAGATCATTAATGCCACAGGGAGAGGCTGTCATAACAGCTTTTCCTGTGTTTTAAAGTGCTATAGAGGGATTTCCCTGGCGGTCCAGTGGTTAAGACTCCGTCTTTCCACTGCAGGGGGAACGGGTTCGATGTCTAGTCAAGTAACTAAGATCCCACATGCTGTGAGGCAAAAATAAAATAAAATAAAGTGCTATGGAAAAGAAATGGCTGGATATATTCTTTTTAATCTCACCTTTAGCAATAAGGTGTGATCTCTAAGTTTGAAAAATGAACAAATGAATAAATAAATGGTGAACGTGCCAGACTCTATTTAAATGAAGATATTTGACATTTCTTTGGTCTTTCTTATAGAGTTGCAGCCCCTCCCCATGGCTCTAGAACACATTCCATCTAAAGATGGGGACTGGGTTTCCTCCTGAAGAACAGGCAGCCATAAAAGGATGTTAGTTCAGGAGCCAACACAGTGAATACGACCAGCATGGTATCTGGAGCCCAGAAATCTGTACACAGCCTCTGACTCCATATGACTCATCCAAACAACAAAGATCTCTAGAAGCAATCACTAGGGCAGGGCTTAGGAAACACATTTTCTGTGGTATGCCATCCCTTGAAGGCACAGCTTGAAAATTTTAATTCTATGTTCCTAGTTTCTAGCACAAAGCCTACACCATAATTAACACTTAATACATGTTTGTAAATGGATTCTATCCTTGCTTTTCGTTCTCTCCTTTTATCATCCAACTTTCTCTTTTTCCTCCTTTCCCATCTCCTTTCTGTCCATTAGGACTTGTTGAGGTCCTAATAACTGGAAATAATTAAGATCTTAATCACCTTCCCCTTGTCCACCTTACCCTAACCTCCAGGCAATACATGAATGTTCTTTATGAAATATTAAATATTGGGTTCCCTTGTTTTTGGATACCTGAGCATGACAGTTGGCTTCTTGGTGATCAAGCCCTGCTCCTATTCCTTCACCTTTACTCTCATTTTTCCTCTCGCTTCTTTCCAACCTCCAGTGGTGTCGAAAGCTGCATGAATGAGCTGCTGACCCTCCAAGCTGAGAAACTTGGCCCTCAGAACCATTCCTTGGGAACTCTCACTTGCTGTTGTGTCAGGTTTCTTGCAGATGGGTTCACAGTTGCTGTCAGCCATAATTCCCACCTATACCCCCATTCTCCTACCCTCTGCTCGCCCCACCAAATCCAAAATATTACCAAGAACTGTGCCCTAGGGGACTGGACACATAGGCTGTGCTGGTGGCCTTTAGGGCTGTGCTGGCCACCATCTCCACAGAAAGGATGCTTCTGTTCTGGAGTGTGTGACAGATTAAGGGCAGCCCAGGGAAGCAGGAAAATAAACCACGATGTGGAGAATGTCAGCACTCCCAGGAAAACAGATAAAACTCCCTGTCTGATCCATTTTTATTTGGGCAGATTTCATGTTGAATCATTTTGCTTGCTTGAACATCAAAACATACGCCCTGGTCCCAGCACAGTCCATCCCAGATGAAGTTCTCTGCTTAAGGAGTGGGGCCTTCAAGAGGGGGAATGAGCAGCTATAAACAATCCCTGTGTGCTTACCTCCCACCCCCGGGCTTCCACCCCACCCCAAGCCTACAAATCCCATCTGGAGAGTCTGCCCCTCATAGTGAGGAGTATTTGATCCACCTGACTTCCTGATAAACCTTCAGACAGAAGTGTGTGTGTGTAGTGTTGAGTGGGGATGTTAATGTCGTCAATAATAATTCAAAATGAGTTCCTGCATATGAACATTGTCTAGTCTTGGAAGGCAAATATCTCTTCATTAAATGTCAATCATTGCTTTAGAAGAATTTTTAATGGGGAAGTACTCCAAAAAAAAAGCCAATAGGAAAAAACAAAAGCAGGTAGATACCATATATTATAGGTAGAGATAGAGACAAAGATACGCATTGAGCAAAGAGTAGAAGGAAATACATCAAAATGCCTGGAGAAATTTTCCCAGCGTTGTGAATTATGGGTGATTTTGCTTCCTATTTTTCTTTATGTTTCTGTGCTGTCCGAGGTTTTCTACTATGAACAAATGTGACTCTAGTAATGGTGGATGGGATGAATTTTTAAATTTGTTTTTAATGTAGATCGCCTTGCCTTGACCTGATCCCATCAAGAAGCCTCACTGAAAGCTGAGTGACCTGAGTACAAAGGCTTCAGATCTTCCTACCTCACGGCCGGCCCAGCCCTCCTTCCTGTTGTCCAGCACAGCATCCGGCAAAGGCCATTACCCTTATTTAAGGGCAGATGGTGAGTTGAAAACCACACAACAGAGGTAGTTCAGGCACATAGGTCTGTAGGAACCAAGTTCAGACGTAAGCTAAGAGGTCACCAATGGCTCCACAGCTGTGCCCCTACCCCCAGCGCACCCCGAGAGCTTCCTCCCAAAAGATTCTTTAGCAAAATGGGAAAGGGAGGAGATCAAGAGTAGGAGGGGAATGAGGCAAAGGAGCCAAGAAGGGGGTTTCTAATACAGAATTGAAACTGCCCTGTTCAGGGGCTGGCAGATTTCCAAGGACCTCCAAGGATGCAGAGAAGGCCTGGGAGAAAACCAGGGACAGGAGGCAAGGTTCACTTCAGCTCAGACACACTCCACCTCCTCCTCTGGCTCCAACCCCCTCTACTCATGGCCAGACGTCTTAAATTCCCCTTTTTTTTTTTTTTCCCCTTTTTTGCGGTATGCGGGCCTCTCACTGTTGTGGCCTCTCCCGTTGCAAACACAGGCTCCGGACACGCAGGCTCAGTGGCCATGGCTCACGGGCCCAGCCGCTCCGCGGCATGTGGGATCTTCCCGGACCGGGGCACGAACCCGTGTCCCCTGCATCGGCAGGCGGACTCTCAACCACTGCGCCACCAGGGAAGCCCCTTAAGTTCCCGTTTGTGTTCCTTTTATCTTCCTCACCCAAACTCTAGCTCCCACCCCCACCCCCAACTTAATTCCATCACCCCCTGACAATCTGAGCTTGTTTCTCCAGGGCTTGCAGCTCCTGCTGTGAGGGTGACAGCCACACCCAGCTCTTGAAGAGGGAAGTAGCTTGTGAGGTCAGGGAGGAAGTGGGGGAGGTGGGGCTGGGTGGGGAGGAGGGAAAAAGCTTGGAGTAGACTTTTCAGAAGTGTGGAGAGGGCAGCTGAGGGCACCCAGCTCCCCACCACCCCCATTACACTGTTAGTGCGGCCCACCCTTGAGCTGCCCTCAGTATTGGGTTCCAAGTGGGTGGGTGTCCAAGGAAGAGAAACTATGGAAGCAGAAGGCAGGAAAGTGCAGGCACTGCTGGGCGATGCCCACCTTTGCACTCACCTGGCAGGGCCCACTGGAAGCAGTGACAACAGGTTGACATCTGTTCTTTAGATACTAATGCCAAATAGATTGCGTGACAGTAGTTTAACATGCACGCCTAAGATGGTGTGTGTGGGTGTGCGCACGTGTGTGTGGAGGGGGGGTTAGTGGAGGGTAGTGGGAAGCAATGAGGGGAGGGTCCCTGTGGAGACTGAGATGATTTGTGCATTCCTCCAAATTTCTGGGGGAAAGAACTAGATAACAAGTTCAGAAAAGTCATTAAGTCTTGGGGGATTCAGAGCCAATCTTCCCATGGTCATCTTTGTCCACCATTTTTTCTTTTGGAAACCCGACCTCTTTTTGATAAAATATATCTGTGTTCTTGAAAAACATAAGCCTTCACATATGGTTTCCACAGCACTGACACTTTGCCACAGAAGGCAGTCTGATGCAGTGGTCAGAACACATACCTCGGAACCAGACAGACCTTCAAAAGCCTGACTCTGACAGTTAACGGGCTGGGTGACCAGTTTGAGTCCCTGTAAAGTAGGGATGATCCTAGTTCCTTGCTCCTGGGATTTTTGTAAGAAATAAATGAGAGAGCATATGAAGCGCAGAGCCCAGCTCTTGGTGAGGCTACTATGGTCCTATGATAAAGTCAGCACTCTCCATGTGGCTTTGGTCCCAATAAAGCTACTCCGGGTAGTGTAGTAGGGGACTAAGCACCAGAGCAGTACTAGTAAACTGTGGCCTGTGGACCACATCCTGCCTGATGCCTACTTTTGTATGGCCTGAGAGCTAAGAATGGTTTTTCCATGTTTAAATGGTTGGGGAAAAAATCAAAAGAAGAAGACTATTTTACAACACGTGAACGGTATATGAAATTCACATTACAGTGTTCATGAGTAAAGTTTTTCGGGAACACAGTCACGATCATTTGTTATGTATCTTCTATAGCTGCTTTTGCAAAGGACCCACAAAGCCTAAAATACAAAAAAGTTGGTCAGCCGTGCATTAGAAGATCAGTAGCCCAATTCCAGCTGTGCTTCCCACCTCCCAACTGAAGATAATACCTTCCCCTCTGTCACCACAAAAATGCCCACCAGCGTACATACACACCATTTGGCTCATTCACCATGTTGTTGTTAACACCAGCTGGCCTACATGCTGGAAAGTGTAAGACAGGACCTGGCAATAAAGCATTACTGTTATTTTCTGAGCAAGCATTGGGGGTGGTGCAATCCCAGTCACCCCTACTGAAAAGACTCAATGTGTTCTTTGTTCTCCTAGCCCTTGATCTTTCACTCTTATTTCTATTTCTCATGCCTTCTGTGTCCATTAGCACTGGCTCAGCTGGGAAAATATGAGTTGGGCTTTGTCTATACCTTTAATCAGTTTACTGGAAAGAGGTCAGAAACAAAAAAGGGAAGAAGCATTAAAACATATACATTGTTGAGTGCTTACTATAGGCCAGGGGATTATAGTGGTGAATAAGGAAAGATCCCTGAGAGAGGAAGAGAGAAACAATAAGGCAAATAGTTATGAAACAATGCAATAGCTGCTATAATAGAGGCATGTACAAAGTACCGAGGGAGCAAAGAAAATGATTTCATCTATTGGGATATTGAAGAGGAGCATCAGGAAAAGTCACAGGGAGGTGACAGCTTTGAAGAGTGGAGAAGAGTTTGTTAGGTGTGAAGAAAGGGTGAAGTCATGAGGGTACAGGGGAACAGCAAGGGCAAAAGCAGGGGCAGGGCACCAAGGGCATGTTCAACAGAGGGGGTGACCCATGGGAAATAAGCTGACACTAGAGTGTGGATGACCCTGTGTACCATAGTCGGGAGTAACACTTTATTCTAGATGGGTAACCTTCAGAGACTTCATAGACTTAAAAGAAGGGAGCGAGATCATTAGATGTGCTCTTTAAAAGTGACTATTGGTAGCAACAGGGAGGGATGCACTAGTATAGAGAGATCCTGGGTTAAGAACAAGTCATGCGTTGTTAATCAACTATACTCCAATATAAAATAAAAAGTTTAAAAACAAAACAAAACAAGTCATGGGTGTTGGAGAAGTGTGGCAGGAAGAAAGATCTTGGATGTAGTGGTAACAGGAATTCATGACATATTGAGCTCTTAGGTGAGGTAGCGAAAGGAGTTGAAGAACAAATCCCGGGATTCTGGAGTGAATCCAGAATCTGCCCAAGACAGATATTAATGCTATTAACTGAAACAGAAAATGCTGGAGTTCTACTTGGGATGTGGGTGATCCTTGGGCATAGTTAACTTGTGGAAGATGGCACGATTTTAGTTCATCCAGGTGAAGAAATCCAGTAGGTGATCATTGACACTCTTAAGTCGAGAGCCCAGAAGATGTAGGGGCTATAAATATACGTTTAAGAATCATCAGTCAGGACTTCCCTGGTGGCACAGTGGTTAAGAACCCGCCTGCCAATACAGGGGACACGGGTTTGAGCCGTGGTCTGGGAAGATCCCACATGCCATGGAGCAACTAAGCCCGTGCGCCACAACTACTGATCCTCCACTCTAGAGCCTGCGAGCCACAGCTACTGCGCCCGCGTGCCACAACTACTGAAGCCTGCGCACCTAGAGCCCGTGCTCCACAACAAGTGAAGCCACCACAATGAGAAACCCTCGCACCTCATCGAAGAGTAGCCCCACTCACCGCAGGTAGAGAAAGCCCATGTGCAGCAATGAAGACCCAACGCAGCCCGAAAGAAAGAAAGAATCATTAGTCAATGATGTATGAAATAGAGGACATTATTCAGCAAATATGAAAGGGAAAAAAATTACAATTAGAACCCTGAAGATGTAGGAGCTAGAAATATACATTTGAGAATCATCAGTCAATGATGTATGAAAGTAGAGGACATTATTCAGCAAATATGAAAGGAAAAAGAAAATTACAATTAGAACCCTGGGGAGTACTAGCATTTAATGGGGTGCAAAGCTAGAGACACCAATTAGAGATGGGAAACTAAGAGGAGAACCTGGAATGAGGAGCATCACCAAAACCATGGAGAAGAGAACTGTGAAAGTTTCTCCTGCACAGAAGAGGAAGGTCAACAGAATGAAAATGCAAAGAGCAAAAACTCCTCAAATAATGGGTTCCCATAGCCCCACTTGGAATCCTGTGAAACACTAAGTGTCACCACAGAGAGTTATAAAAATCAATCTGTCTGTTTCCAGAACTCAGTGCACAGGATTTGAAAAGCAGAGGTATTTTTCAGGACAGATTATTGGTTTTGCATAAGCACCAAAAAGAAGCTGCTGGGTTTGCAAAAAATGGTAGTCATTGATGAGCTGGACAGGAGCAGTTTCTATAGAGCAGTAGGAACAGAAAGCAAATTCCTGTGGGTGCAATTGTCCGTGGATCTGAAGAAGTAAGGACGAGGAGCATAGAGTGGACCTTCAAGAAGTGATATTTCTGTAACTCTTCTTTTTTTTCCTCTCAAAAAACAATTGTCTGTCCTGGAAAATCCCTCTGCTTTCCAATTTACTAACCCTGGGCACTGTGTTCTGGATATAGACCAAGTGACTTTTACAACTCTCCTAGGTGACATTTATCCTTTCACAGAATTCCAAGTGGGCCTTATGGAAACACTATTTGAGGGATTTTTGCTTTTACCTCAAAAGTATTTCTAGATAAAATCAATGAAAAGGATTAAAAAGTCTTGCTGTGTGTGAACCTACAAGGATAGGTTCCTCTGTAAAGGGTTCTGCCATGAGTCCACGCAAGAAGTCAGCCCTCCTTTCTCTCCAGCTTATGGCATGGTATTGATACAAGTAAAGAAGGAAAAGGGGGCCAGCTGTGCTCTTAAGCTTCACTTCTAACTCAAGGTTCCTTTTTCACTTTAGTCTGAAACCAACAAAGAGCAGAGAATAGAGGGTGGTAAGAGATCAGGCCCCTGGAGAGCTGCTATCTAGTTCCAGCTGTACTTCTTATCCACAGAACCTACCAAAAGGAGAGCGTTGTCCCTTTTCTAGTCTGATTTTCCTAAAATATAAATATTAAATTTATAAATATAAGTTTGCTTAAAACCTGGAGTGGCTTCACCTTGTCCCAGGATTAAGTCCCATATTTTAAACAGGGCAAACAGGGCCCTCCACATCTAATGGCTCCCAGATAACTCCTCAAATTCTCCTTTCCAACCCACTGGGCTTTTTTTTCTTCCAAAGCATGCTGCTCTGTATTCTTGTAACTTTGGAATATGCTAACCCTCTGCCCAAACTACCTCCATTTTCCCACTTTATCTAGCAAGCTTAAACTCATCTCAGGTTATGTGTCAGGTGCCTCACAAAACTCTTTGCGATCCCTGAGGCTAGGTTGGACCTCCTAGATCAGACGATATGTCCCTTTCCTAGCACTTCCATGCCTAT